ATCAAAGAAAAACAGTAATATACTGTCAAATGTACTATCAGTCAGATTTACTAAACGAAAGAAGTTAATTTCTATGAAAAAAGTTATGCGAAGTCAATAACTGATAAGGAGAGCAAATATTAAACTGAAGTGTTTATGTGTTTTTGCATAAGATGATATAGGTGAGACCTGTTAGTTTAATTAATGAGTTTTGTGGGTCACCATTGTACTGTAGAGTGGAGCCTGTGCTTCAGTCAAAGATGAGCAGAGAAACACTAATGTTATGCTGCCTGTTGCTTTATTTAAAGTAATGCAGTAACAATGCAGTGACAGTCTCCTTACATTAGCACATACATGTGTGCTATTGTTTGCTAAATACAAACTGCATAGAACTTAGTTAAAGTCATATTTTTAATTAATTCTGTATTGATTTACACTATTATTGGTCGTTTGCAGTTTTATATTAAGCTATATAAATTCAGTGGACTCAAATTAAGTAAGTTCAGAGTACTATCAGTATAACAACTATTTTTAAATCCTGAATTGTTTGAAGCAGTCGGTTGATACAAGCTGAATTTTCATCATCATTGCTGTCTTTAGTGTCACATGATCCTTCAGAAATTATTCTAAAATGATGATTTGATGCTCAAAAAATATTCATTATTATTATCAATGTTAAAAACAGTTGAGTAGCAGTTTTTTCAGGAATCTTTGATGGTTGTAAAGAACAGCATTTATTTGAAATAGAATATCTGAAATATGTAACTTTCTGTACTGTAACTTGACGAATAAAATTATTGATATTTTTTATTTCTTTCCCCCAAAATTTAAAATAAAAATTATTACTTACCCCAAACTTTTGAACAGTAGTGTTTAATGTTAAACAAGCTTTTGATTTCAGATAAATGCTGTTCTTTTGAACTTCTATTCATCAAAGAATCCTGAAATAAAAATGTAAATAACTGTTTTCAACATGATAATAACGAGAAATGTTTATTGAGTATCAAATCATCATATTAGAATAATTTCTGAAGGATCATGACACTGAAGACTAGATGATGAAAATTCAGCTTTGATCACAGGAATAAATAACACTTTACTACATATTCATGTAGAAAACAGCCGTTTTAAAGTATAACAATTTCACAATATCACTGTTTTTTTTTTTTTTTTTAATGAAATAAATGTAGCCTTGGCTAGGAGAGACTTCTTTTAAAAAAAACATTAAAAAATCTTACCAATCCAAAACGTTTGACTGGTAGTTTGTTATTATTATTATTATTATTATTATTATTATGTTAGGAAATTCTTGTGAACATGCAAGATGCTGTTAAAACATTTCAGCACTGAACTGGTTGCTCTGTTCCCTCTGCATCATGGCGTGGATGTTTACATGTTATGCAGTGGGCATAAAATCATTAGCAATAAACATAGTTTGATAGTGTTATGGCATATTGCTGGCTCAGCTAATGGAACTGCATAATACACTCTCATCACAATAAAAGCTGATAGGTTGATGCCTTTTGCATTTTCATACTGTGAACACTAGGTGTCGATCTTGGACTGATGCTTTGTATCTCTCAGTTTGAATGTGGAATAGCTGGGCTTGATACCTGTAATAATGCCAGTGTTGGACTGTATGCCTTAGTTAAGCGATTCTTGATTATCTCTGTTTATTCAGTGTTGTGGTCAGTTATATCTCAGCTCCACTTCCGTATGGTTCAATTTGTAATTCAGAATTTGAACATTTATCATGGTGAATTCATATCTTGAGTTGTTACATCTCTTGAAATGCCACTAAGCTTTGTTCAGCTGGAAGAAACTCAAACCATATATTACAAGTGTCATTTGCATGTTGTTTTTGCTCTTATTTACTAACATCACCATCACTTATCAGAAATACTGCATGCCAACTGGAGATTAATTATTTGTTGCATTTCAGCAAAGGCATGGAAACACACACAAAGTGTTTGCCGCAACACTCATTAAATTCATATTCAGATAGGGATGTGAGTGTTATATAACTGAGCACAATTCGCAGAACACTAATGGATTTAGGTTATAGGCGCATTGTCATGGTCTGTTGAGTAAACCTGTCCTTAACACTTGCTGGCGATCAATATTAGTTAGGTTTTTAGGCAGAATTTTTGTAGTCCCAGAATTGCATGAGGAGCTCTCCTCCCCTGAGGTAATAAAAACAGCAGGTACTGTGACAAATGTCATGTACCATTCTGTCTCAAGAGCAGCTTTTGTGTCAGAGATTAATGAAAACAAAATGCTCTGTGTCATTCGTTCAGAAATAGGTACGTTTTAACTAATAGGGGACAACAACACTGTTGAAAATCGTCTCATCCATGACTTACATTACATTAAACAGCTTCAGTAATTTATGGTAATTTATATTACACAAGTCTTATCTATCCCATCTTCTTACTTTGTAACCAGATTCTCTATGGTATTTGAGGAATGGGTTATTTATTCAGACCAAGTACCAATACATCAGAGTGCCGCTGTACTTGAATGGCATTGTGTTAAGCCCATGTTGATGCAAGGAGATTGCTGGAAGTGAATTCTTAGTCCCACATTAAATTTGGAAGAGGATGAAAGAGCTCACTCCCAAAGCAGAGTGAATCTTTAATGCTGCTTTTCCGCAAGAGGCAAGAGGTTTTTCATGTCCGATCCACGTGATCCACCCACTCAGCGCCCGCAATGTCAGAAACCCGTGTATCCCCTAAATGGGGACATGACCCCCCCCCCCCCAACACACACACACACATACAGTAACAAAGTGCATTTACTAGAGTACTGTACTTAATCAAACTTATTTCAGGATTATTTTTTTCTGTAAACATGTGACTTAACTTAAAGGGATAGTTCACTTTGAAATTAATTTTTGATATGTTTAAGCTTACCTCAAGGGCATCCAAGATGTAGGTGTCTTTGTTTCCACAGTATTTCAATTTTTATATTTTTAGGTCAAACCGTTTGTGTCTATCAGTCATATAATGGAGGTCTATGGGGTCCACCACAAAGAGCATGCACAGAGAAGTCCAAATTAAACATGATTCAATGACTCGTAAATATAAGTACACATCGATGGCCTAAGACGAAAACAAGTGGTTTGTGTGAGAAAACGAACGGTATTTATATAGATTTTACCTCTTGTAACCACAGCCACATCCACACTTTGTGGCTGTGGTTACAAGAGATAAAAACGATATAAATACTGTTGGATTAATTTCAAATTGAACTATCCCTTTAAGACAAATATCATACTTTTCACTCCACTATATTTCTATAGTTTCGAAAGTCGGAACTATGTAGTAACTTTGAAAATCCGTGGATGATTTTTTTTCTTCTCTAAAACGTTATTATTGTTTTGCAGGTGACAGACATGAATTATCACTTTTGTGTCATGTTACGTGTCGTGAAGTTCAGTGGTTTCCCAGCATTTTTTTTTTTTTTTTTAACTCTGATCACTTGGCAAAATGGAAGATGGTTATACCTTGGCAGAGTATGTCCCAGTTTCTTGAAAATACTATTTTTGTTTTTAATGTTTGCTTTGTTCGCCTAAAACACATTGATTAAAGGTTCGGCAATGACGATTCACAAACAGTCTTGTCAACCATGTATCATTATTTCTTTCTGCATTACAAATATACTTAAATGATCACAGAAGTACTTGAATAAAAGTCTGCAAAAAGTTTTTTTTTTTTTTTTTTTTACAAAATGTGCCGAGAAGTGGGTCCCCAGGACCGGAGTTGAAGAACCCAGCTGTATCTCTTCAGTGATACAAAGTCAAAGCATGACATAAGTGCAGCATTGTGGTGTTATAATTGCAATAGTTGGTGTTATTGGATAGGCCTACATTTCTAAAGTAGAACATCTCTACAGCATGTTAACTTGTTACTAGTATTCTGCAGCAGTATAGCCTTAACACGTTTCTACATCAGTGCTACTTGTCAGTGTGTGTGTGTATCTCTTTGTTCTATATCTACATAACATATTCATTTCTTTCCCGAACCAGCTCAACTAGAATTTTTCTAGCCCTCCCCATTCCCCAGCACCACCTGCCTAGACTAGATAAGGGGTTCTCCGTACTTTCCTTGCAGCAGCGCACAGTCTTTCCGTTGTATTTATGTACATGTTTCGGCAGTAGCCGTCACTTATACAGCAACATCAACGTAGCAGATCTAGCCTGCCAAGACTTAACGTTTCATTCTTATCAGTAAATGCTGTTTAAATATCTTCTGAGGGTTGTCGTTATACATCTAATCAAACAGTAGTCTCACAGTGTCTCACTGAAGAGCTAAGGTCTTCTAAAGCACTGGGTTTAAGAGGGTATTCATATGGGAGGGTAATCAGTAAGCTGGCTGCATTCCCGGCTTCTTTTTTTTTTTGTCAGACGGGATAGCAGTTTGGAAATTTAGTAGGACATTTTTGTACAACAGTTAATGGATGAAAATGACATAGTCCTGTGAAAAAAAATGATTGCAGTGTGGGCGGTTAATGGATTGGATCAGCCAGACCTTAATATTATAGGCTGCCACATTAGCACCGAATACACTGAACAATTACAGTGACAAACAGGAGGATGATCTTTATCATTAGTGTGTTTTTCAGGCCGAGTAGCCTAATATAAAGATGGATGGAGGGATACATTAACCACATATCTGGCGACAAGAGGCAATGACAAGCAGAATTTTAATTGAAATTGTTCCCTGTCACGGGATATGTCACGTTCAAACGTATACGTAATGAACCAGTGGTGACCATCTGTTGGACAATCCTCCTCTGTCAATTCAATAATGTCTTTTATCTCCTTTACTTGTTCGCTCTCATTTACCGCTACAAATTCCTCATCCAAACCTCAATCACGTATGATTGCGTAGAGAGAGAGAGAGAGAGAGAGAGAGAGAGAGAGAGAGAGAGAGAGAGAGAGAGAGAGAGGAGAGAGAGAGAGAGAGAGAGAGAGAGAGAGAGAGAGAGAGAGAGAGAGAGAGAGAGAGAGAGAGAGCCCATTGACTGTCTCACTGTCAGTGTACCACAGGCAGCACTTGCCTCGATTTTACATTGAACATTCCCTCGAATGGCTTCGCACGGATTCGCACAGTTCTCGTTGTGCTGGACACTTGACCTTTAAATTACAATTCGTTTTGAGCATAATAATAAATGTCGACGCGAGGAACAATGCAATGAACTCGACCAGAAGAACTATGAAGAGCTGTAAAATAATTTGGAGAGCGTTTAGTGAACTTGTAACTCACATTTACCACTCTAGTGCCTGAAAACGCGCGTTCTTGTGCCATGGGCTCCGTTTATTATCAGGATTTAAGCAAAGTTATGTGGAATGAAGTAGACATGCGAATCATGTAGCAGTCGCTTGGAGGTGGAATCACGCGTCTGCTGTCTTCGGCACCTGGAACACCTGCGTGACAGGTTATCCACGTTCACATAGGGCGTCTTTTTCATTTATCTGTATATATATTTTTTATTTTTTGCATTTAAGATGGAGAGCGGATGTGCTTTAAATAATTTCACCAGCAGATCGTCTGAGAAGAGGATGAGATTTCAGTCCTAATTCACAGGATCCTCTGGATTTTTTTTTTTTTTTCACGCAGGGAATCGGAATGAAATCTGTCTGAATTTAATTCCTTGTCGTTTTATACATTATTCTCAGTTATTGCGTTAACAGCTGCACGGGCTCGTTTTACTGACTTCTCGAGATGGCTGCGATCGCCAGTTCTCTGATCCGACAGAAACGCCAGGCGCGGGAATCCAACAGCGAGCGGGTCTCTACCTCCAAACGACGCCCCAGTCCCAGCAAAGACCCCCGCTCTCTCTGCGAGCGACATTTTCTGGGGGTCTTCAGTAAAGTCCGCTTCTGCAGCGGCAAGAAAAGACCTGTTCGCCGGCGACCAGGTCAGTGCTGGATGCTTTTTAAGACTACAGCCCCCACCCGAAGCCTCTACCGCAGTCTTCAGATCCGCTGGAGAAACATATATCCTCCACTGTATTTTATTGCAATGCAAACCCTCCCCAAAATCCCACCTGTTTCATAGCTCAAGTGTTGTCTATCGGTATTCAATCACCAAACGATTTGCCATCTTAACAATCTGAATGCACAAATCGTTTTATGTTTTTATATATATATAGCCTATAATATATATATATATATATATATATATATATATATATATATTATTTATGTCATTATTACTGTTATCGATTAATTCAATGGTTGTCATTTTGATCAGAGGCTGTGCAAGTGTTTAAAAATATCCATTTCTGAAAGAATGCAATTGACAAGTTTGCCCGTTATGTAGTGCAACAATGCAATTTTGTAATAGCTAGAATCCAGTGGCACTGCAGTGCACCAGGGCTTCCTTAGATGAAATGTTAAGTGGTAAATGTTTCCCTGATGAAAAATCCAGTGAACTGGCAAATGTATTTTTTGGAACATGAAAGAACCATCTTGAACCAGCGACAAACCAGCTACCTTGGTTGAGCTGGATTTTCAGCATAGACCAGCTAGAATTCACAAACACATTTACCAGCTGAAACTGTATTTTCCAACAGGGATTGCTTTACTGCAGTGTTGGGAGGGATTGTACAGTTAGTTTTATTAATGGACATGGTCTCACTGCCCACTGAACCACGCTATCGTCCTTTTTCGGCTCACGGAAAACGACACGAAGCGTGTTAAGCGATTAAAAACAACTATACAGCTTTCCTCTCTTCCTCCTCCTCCTTAAAAAAATAAAAATAAAAATAAAAATAAAAACCTTCTCATGATGTAGGACAAGCGCATACCCTCTTCCCAAAATATGTTCAGTTATTTGACGGCTATTGCTGTAGAATCTGTCTGTAAAAATGTTGTTTTTCCTTCTCCCCCGTAAGATGCGCCCTCGAAACCTCCACAGGTGTCCCGTAAGGGCGTCAGGCTAGGTCAGTAGCCTCCATCCATGTGCTGTGTCTTCCAGTTTCCCACCCCATTTCGTGCTCATGGGGGACTAGCTCCTGTCTAACGGCAGTCGCCGATGTCTGCCTTGTCCTTGTATTATGCTTCCGACTATTGTTCTATCTCTTTGTCTCTGTATTCTATTCTTTTTATGTATGTCTTACTGTCTTCTTTCTGGCTCTCCTTCCTTTTTTTTTTCTCCCCCCCCCCCCTTCTTTACTCCCTCTGAGCCCTCTTTTTGGCCTCTCTATGTTTCTGTCCCCGTTTTCTGTCCCCTCCGTCTGTTTCCGTGCAGTGAGGCTCGTGTTTGCAATGTGCTGCTGATGTGTCATGTTTCTCTTGTCAGTCGTGGTGACTTAAGTAGTCAAGGTGACCATTCACCATTTCATGATCATGGCATCATCTATCAACACATCCGATTGTAACTGTTTCTGTTTCTGGAATGAGGCAATATGGACATGTGGTTCAACAGAATTATAATGTATTTGCATTGTTTGGGAAATGCAAACAGTGTTGACAAAAATGTGACATGCGTTATCTTAGGTGAAAAGACACACGCTTATACATTAAGTGCATATAATTGCTACATGAGTAGAGACATGCATGTACACGAATCTCACAGAATATGTCTGGAACATGTCCAAGTCATATTTGACCCCAAAAATGTAATAAGAAATTTCAATGTTTGTTTGTTTTTTTACATCGTGACATTATTTTTAATGCCTCCAAATGTCTTATTTTAATGCAAAAAAGCATCCTCATAATGTCAAAAAAATCCATGTTTCATCAATTATTATTATATTATAAATTATGTACACATCATTCATATTTGCAGACCAAAATCTTATTTCCTGGTAACAATATATAGTTATGTGCAAAAGTCTTAGGCACGTTTGTATTTCCACCCCCAAATAAATGGTTTTAAGCCTGTTATTTATATATTTGGTCATAGAGTGTGTTAGTAGGAAATATCATTTTATATTTCCAAACATTTCTTTTGCCATTAAATATTATAATTCAGTGAGATTTTTGTATGCACAAGGAGTCACAAGAAACAGAAAAAACTGAGACAGAAAAAATCCAGAACTGCGGCAACGTCTCCAAGATATGATCCCGGACAGACTCGATGATGGGAAGATCAGATCTCCATGTGGATCAGACCGGCTGATATCAGACTCCTTGTGCTTACAAAAAAAAAAAAAAATAACTCACTGGATTATTACAATTAGTGGCAAGATCAATGTTTGGAAATATCATACTGACACACTACAGCAAACAATATAAATAACTTGTCTTAAAACTATTTATTGAGGTGAAAATACTAACTTGCCTAAGACTTTTGCACATGATATATTATCATCAACCACAAAGAGAGCAGCAGGTACTGAACTAAAAAAAAAAAAAAAAAAAAAAAAAAAACGAGATAGTTGATGAAACAATTAAGTAAATATTTGAGTGATGATTGAGCATTATTGAAGACACCTGATGGTAGCAACAAGTACTGAAGGGAAAACCGGAATGTTTGAGTCACCATTATGGTGATCAGTGTTTGTTATAGTTGGCCTCTTGACTCTCACATCATTAACTTTATTTTGTTTGCCTGCTGTACATGTATTATAACAGTCAGATAAATGAATAGAAAAGGTGATCTGATGGGTGTTGGTTTATGTTTTAACAATATCTATATTTCACAATCATTTGACCTGAATCACTCAACTCATATAAAACCCAATTTCTAAGTTTCAATCAATTTTAGCCATGAAATCCAAATGATCAAATCAATAAATAAAGACATTTTCCATATATATGTAGGAACACATAGACATCAGG